GGGGATTAGGAGAATATTGCGAATTAACCGAAAGCTTGTCTGTTTTAGCAAATGGCCTCATTTCGAGTTTGACACAGTCTTTTTATTAGGCAAACAGACTGCATTCTGGTACATTCGTTCATGCTAATGTGGTGTTATAACATTAAGGTATGTTTATGAAACGGTTGCGATTCTGATGAACAACTGTTTCTTTACTCCTCGAGCAATAATTTTTTAAATTTCTTTTTTAGGAAAATTCACCTATTTAAGAAAATGAATCTACCCATCACTTTTGCCTCTTCTTCTTGAGGATATTACAGACCAAGCAAGCAGCGCAGTCCCTCTAATTATTTACTAATTGCTTCTGCAATGACTGAGGCTGCAGCTACATGACTCCAAGGCACCAGGGTAACCCCATAAAAACTTGCGTCGGCTCACTCGGTCTAACAGACAACTAGTCACGGCTGACTGCGTGGACCAGCTGTTCTGACATCATGGCGCACAGGCTTGACAGAGGGTCCCCGATTTGGACGGTGACGTGGGATGAGAGCAAAGAGCCTGGGGCTCTGGGTCTGTTTTTCTTTTTTTATTTCTTTAACTCGATTCTAGATTCTTGACTTCTAGTCTTGGGTTAAGAACAGCGTTTTTGGATGGGGGACGAGTCCTGACTTTTCTAGCCATATGCTGTGTTCTCACACAGACAAGAACAGCCTCCTGTGCTGGTCACGCCCTGGACACAGCTCGCGGTGAGCACTCACCTCCTCACAGGGCAGGGGGACTCTCCTGTGAGCCTCCTCTCTCACTTTCCCCTCACCCTCAGGAGGGGAGCTGATGAAAGGAAAAACAGAGCAAAAGACCAAAACTTGGTTAGCCTGGCAACACCCTGAAGCCTGGTTCTAGTCTCCTGTTTTCCCGGCAGATTCCTCGCCTGCAGAATGTGAAGAACACAAGTCTTAGGGCTCGGACGCTGCCCCTACTCAGGATGGAGCTGGGCCTGCGGGGCAGGCAGGCAGAATAAAGACGGAGGAGTGGGGAAGATGCGTGAGAGGGCAGGAGGCCAGAGAGAGAAAAGAAAAGGAAACTCCCAAATGCCCATTTGAAGTAGATGCTACAGAGACAAAAAGATGACTGTGGCTGGAACAAAAAACTCCATTCATTCGTACAGCGACGGTGAATAGGGAAACTTCTCTCTGCAGGACCAGGTCTGCCGACGGGCATAACAAAGTCACATCTGCTGAATGCAGAGTGCGAGTCAGTACCCTTCCCGAAGAGGCCCTCCAAGGGGCAGGGTAGCCTTGTGGTTAAGGGCTAGCACTCTGAGCCAAGCTGCCATGGCTGGAATTGCAGCTGCTCTGCCCTCCAGCTGTGTGCCCTTGGTCAGACTGCATAGCCTCTGTTCTAGTTTCCCCCTCTGTCAGTGGAATAACAATGGCACCTCCTTCAGGGGTTCTCCGGGGAATTAAGTAACCTAATGCAGGAAAGCACTTCGACCAGCTCCCAGTAAGTGCTCAGTCAGTGCTATTATTACTACTAAAGTTGGCAAAATAAAAATCACATACTGTCCAAAGGGTTAAGGCCCAGCCAGCCGAGGGGGTCCTTTCAGTGGGGGCTGAAGCAGACAGCCAATGGTTCACCTCCACCCCCTGCTCCTTTCTAACAAAACCCTCCATTTTCAGATCCCCACCCTCCGGGTGACCACGTGCTTTAGGGGAGGGAGCCCAGCCGCCACACCAGGGTGGAACCAGGGTTGGTCCAAGGGACCAAATCCACTGCCAGTGACTGGTTTGGGTGTGGGATGTAATTCTGGGCTGTGAGTCGGTGGGGGAGCTTCCCCTGGTTTATAAAGGGTCATATTGGAAGGAATAGCATACTGGAAATAGCTGACAGCGCGGTATCCGCATGTGGAGCCTGGAATGGTGGCAGCCTCCTGGTGACCAGAGGAGAGCCAAGTCGGCCGCCCCTAGACCTGTGCTCCCTCCTGGCTTCTGCTGAGATGAGTGAGAAGCTCTTACTGTCTCAGCCGGCTCAGCTGGGTTGTGTGTTTCTCACAGGGTAGAACCACCATCCCCTCGGCGGCCAACGGGGTGCCACCCGGCAGCAGGTAGAGCCTAGCACAGGAGGGGTTTCAGCAGTGCCCGACAAGGAGAACCGGCCTCCCCAGTAGCTGGCGGCGGGACTAACACTTACTGAGCATCTGCTGTGTGCCAGGGGCTTCACTTACATTATTCTCACTCATTCGTGTACCTGCCACCCCAATAGTTAAGCTTTGTTGTCTCCACTTTCCAGATGAGGAAACTCGGAAGGGTGAGAAACGTGTCCAGGGCCCCTGTAGGGAGCTGCAGGGGCTGGACTTCAGGCCAGGTGCGCCCGATTCCCCTAATCCCTCTGCCTCCCCAGAGGCTATGACAGCACAGGACGTGAAGACCAGAGAACTCAAGAACAGTCAGGGAGACGCCCAGTCAAAGGCACAGCAGAGGAGCCACAGGAAGCACAGACCTATCTGCGACCAAATGGAAAGCAGGGGCCAGAGGGTGAGGGCAGGAGGCAGCTGCAGGACGCGGAGAGCCCGGCCAGTGGGGCCCGAGTGCAGACTCAACCAGGAGCCAGGACCAGCTGGAGCCTGAAGACGACAGCCTCAGGACCTCCTGGGCCCTCTTCCCCAAACACAGGGCCCCACGGGACCAGACAGCAGCCTCTTCAGGTGAAGCCATAGATCACAATCATCAAAAGATGGAGAGACAGGATCTGGAGGTCACCCAGTCTGCCTTCCCCTTGACTGATGGAGAAAATGAGACTCGCGAGCCCGAGGGTTTGAGCGGACAATGGACATATGCTGGAGGCTCTAAGTGCGTGTAAGGAGGGGAGATGCTGAGGGACCAGTCATTAGACCCAGCCCAGTGCAAAGAAAACTGGGAAACACGAGCACTAGGGTTCGGTCAGTTTGGGGTGCCAACTGCTAATTATCCGCTGGTTTAGGAAGGCTAGACCACACATATCTTTAGCAAAGTCTGGCTCCCAAATTTCAGAGAGACATTTGCATGCAGTCTTGGCTCCAGTAAGCCATGCGGACTTATATTTAAAACAAACTAATTGGCGTTCTTTCATTCCCAAACTATAGATCCCCAGCAATGAGGGCATATGCATGAAGAGAGCCTTCCTCCACTGACTCCTAGGAGTTCTTCTCAGTCTCCAGCACTCGAGCACGGACCACGTGCAGGACCAGAGTCCTACCTGGAAACACACGACCGCACACAGCAAACAGCTGAGGAGTGCATTTGGTTTGTTCTGTTCATTTCGGGGGTGAATGGGAAGGGGCGAGATCATTGGTGTTCCTACCTCTACTTCAAAGGAAGCCGCAGGAATAATCATGGCAATGCTGGCCGGCATTGTCTAAGCGTTCCAGGGGCTTTATACCAGACATTTTTAAGCCACACAACAGCACTTCAACTATTCAGTTAATTATTCAATTAATCAGTTAGTTATTATCTCCACTAACAGATGAAGAAGCCCAATGACAAGGACTTGCCCAGGGCCATCCAGCTGATAAATGGCAGAGCCCAGGATGGAAACCCCAGCCTGACTGGTCCCAAGGTCAGTCTTGCCCCGCTCCACGCGCCTGCTGGGGTGGGGTCCAGGGAGAATGTGGGCGGCAGTGTAAGCTGGCAGGAAAGCATGGCAGAGAAAGCCCCGGCGCTGCCCTGGGACTGAGCGTCGTCTCAATCACCCGCTCCTCAGCCTTCTACTGGTGCAACTTTTTGTTCTCACTAGAAGTTGTGTGAAAGCAGCATCGGGTTAAGCTCACTCTTAATCGGGGGGAGCGCTTCTAGGGGCAGGAGGCTGGGGTGAAAAAGGTATATAAGGAAAGGACGGTTAGCGGTGGAGTTCCCTTTTAGCTTTCCTCATCAAAGCCCTACTTTCGGTAATTTACAAGGTGGCCTATGTCCATACAGTCCACACTAACTGTAGTGTTGCATTATTGACCCTGATGGTATTGCTGTTGAGATGATTGTCATAAGCAGCTGACCTTCCTAGGAGAATTTCATGATTAACACAGTTTACAAAGAGACAAATTAAAGACATGTACCATACATAATATCAATCATACCACATATTTCTTACAGAATAACAAATGGACCACAATGGAAGTAGCTAATAATTATACCAGGGTTCCTACTAAGACCAACTATAATGAAACCAGGTCTTTCGAAGCACATAATGCTAAAAAATTATCACACTAAGGCGAATGTTCTGGTGTTAATGCCATCAGCCAGGGAAACTTAGGCAAACATTTTGTGGATTTCTGGCTATTTTTGATCTTGAAATGTATGAAAATCTCAGAAGAGTTCAAAAAGAAAGAAAATTTGTCACATTTCACGCCGACACATTGAATCAAGTAAATTAAACCATGATTCTCAAACTGCTCATGTAAGTGACAGGCCCGAATGTGTTTTAGAAAGGGCCTGAGTCCCACCCTGAAAGCCTGTGGGCACCCCTCACTCCCCAGCTGCGTCCTCTGGTGTCTCACTGTAATCGGCAAACAGGAATGAAGCTACAGGCTGCTTTTCTAAACACACGCAGTAGCTTCTGTGGCTCCATTACTCAATGCTTGAATCTATATCACTCGAGGTTGACTGGTTATTTTTACCATACTGCCCCGGGTTGGCATTACTGCTGAAAAGAAGTTGTTTTCTCTTTCTAAAGAAAACCTTGCCTCAGTCTTAGACAAAAACAGAAAGGGCAGCCTGACTAATAAAGATCTAAAGTTAATACAAAAGTAATGAATATTCCAGGACTTCTGCTGGTGTCATTTCATTCATCAAAAGAGACGCCATCTGAGGGAGTCGCAGCCGTCTGAACACGGGCTTTCTCGGGAGTTTGTTCTAAGAAGATCAACTGAGCCAGACGACTTTGCCGTGAGAAGGCGGATGACAAGACGTGGCTCATTTTGCATCATCTGCCTCTGCTAACAATTACTGTTGATGAAGGGCGGGGGGATAAGAATTTTTAAAGATCTCTATTACCTTTTCTCCGACTTGGATTTCGAGTTCTCCTAATGTCCGACAGCAATTTGTTTCATTCCCATCTCCCCTTAAAATAAAAATAAAAACTTTCTGTTAATGTTTTAACCAAATAAATGTTTATGTGGGACATGCAGAGATCAAAACTATAAGGACTTGTAGGTTATCCATCTGTAAGTGCAAGGTGTGTCTTAGGCACTACCACCTGCCAGGAGTGTGAGCTTGGGCCCGTCACGCCGCTTCTCCACTCCTGTTTCCTCCGCCGTAAAATGAGATACGACACTGCTCCTCCCAGGGCAGTGTGGGAATTGAAGAATGATGGCCAACAACTAACGAGCACTTCCTGTGGCCAAGCCCTACCTCGTTTATTCCTCACAACAACTCTCTGGGTCAGGGGCCATCGTCACCCCAGCTCTGCAGAGGGACTGAGGGGGCCCAAGGTCATGTGTGGGGAAGTGGCGGGTTCAGACCCAGGTGGTCTGGCTTCAGAGCCCACCCCGAACCCCTCTGCTGCTGTGGGCTCCCCGTCCACTCCGCGGTGCCCTCTTAGCCGCTCTGTAAGGGACTTTGTGGTGGATGTGTGTCTATACACCCCTTGGCTCCGGAGGCTTTTTTCCTATTAACTATTTTTGATTTTGCATTATCTGTACATCTACGAAGCACTTCAGAGCCCGTGTTTGGAATGAGCTGTTGGGGTGGGGTAAGGAACGACAGAGGCATTCTGCTCCTCCATTTCACCATATTTATCCAGCGCCTCCTACGCTCAGGTCTGGGGCCGCGGTGGACACCAGGACACTGTTCCCAGTCTTGAAAAGCTTAATGCTAGTGACAGCAACAGATAGGAAATAAGCAAACAAGTAACGTAATTTGAAGTAATGAAAGGCGCCATGAAGGAAATAAAGGAGGCAGGGGATAGATTAGACGGGCTGATTCTTCTGGGTGGGGCAGACAGCAGTGCCATCTGAATAGAGACCCACAAGCTGAGGAGCCCAGAGCCATCCATTCGGAGGAAAGCTCTCCAGAAACAGCAGCAGCAAGAAACCCAGAGGGGGCGGAGTTGGCACATCTCAGGACTGCTACTGCCAGGAGGCCAGGGAGACCGCAGCCCACCCAGCAGGCACAGGAACATGGGGTGAGTTCTGAGATGGAAGCAGATGCCAGCTCCCACGGTGCTGTGGTCGTGATAGGAATCCGGACTTCATAGCAGGGTAAGGGGAAGCCGTCAGAGCCTTTTAAGCAGAAGTTAATCATTCCACGTAGGAGGAAACAGGCTCAGAGGGGTTGAGCACCATGCCCAGTTAAAGACAGAATCTCGCCAGGGATCCAGTCTCATGATTCTATGTCAAATGTAATCTTCTAAATATTGTTTTAATTATGTATTGAATAGATACAAAACGCTATTTGTAACATATGTTTAAGGGTTAAAGAATAAAAATCAGACAAATGCCTGAGCACCTCAGTACCTGTGCCTCGGGAGCCCTCCCGCCCCAGCCTCATCCTCCTCCCTCCCTGCTTCCCCGGTGGTCGAGGCTGCACCAGCCCGCATCACATCTCAACCTCTCCCTCAGCCCCATCCTACTCCGGGGCTCTGCCCTTCCCGGGGTCTTCCCTAATCTACACCTTGCGCCCCAAACTCCGTCTCAGTGTCTGCTTCAGGAACCCAGTCTATTATCTGATATTGACTAAGTATTTATTGGAATGGTATGTCTTATTAAATCCTGTCACTTTTAACCTTTCTGTAAACTTACATTTAGGTTTTTCTCTTAGTGGATTTTACTATTTGTTATCTAGTCAGACAGTGTTTGTCTTTTAAGTGGAACATTTACTATAATCACTGATATTTAGGATTTCCATTTGCCCTGCCTATGCTGCTTCTTCTTGCCTTCTTTTAGGTTGATTCCAGTTTTATCATTCCACTTATTTGCCTTTATAAATTTGGGGATTATTTACTCCATTTTTAATCTTGTAATGGTTGCTCTGGAAATTACAACCTGCATACTTTTCAAAGTCTAAAGTTAATCAAAACTTTTATCTTCCTACTGGACAATGTGACAACTCTAGAACATTTCATTCCAGCCCCTCCTCTCTCAATTTATATATTAGTGCTATCACGTATTTTAATTCTATCCTATTTTTAAATTCCAGCAATCATCATTATTTCCTAGAGTCACTAGTGTTTCCTACAGTCGATAGATATTTAGCCACATACTCGCTGCCACTTTTGTTCTTCATTCCTTTTTGCATCATCATTTCAAACCTTCCATCTGGGATCACTTTCCTTCTACCTAAAGTATGTCCTTAGAATTTCTTTTACTGTGTCTGTTGGGAGCCAAATCCGTTTTGGTTTTGTTCACTCTATGTCGTCAAGGGCATCAAGTTTTGGCTGATTTGAATGTGACCTCGTGAACCATATTTCCAGAAGAGAGGTGCTGTAACCACATTAAGTTCCACCATCAAAAACTCAAGGAATCTGAGCTGCAGCTTTGTCAGTGTCCTAGGATTAAATAAGCCCCAGTCATAAGGCCTGATCATTCAACGACTGCAAAGGGTGCCTCTTATTTTTATACAAGTCAGTGTGAAGAAAGTATGAAAGATCTAGTTGAAAGGCAACCTTGAAAACCATAGGCAAAGGTGCCAGATGTTTCTCCCTTTGCCAAATACTCTGTCAGTGGATGAGCATATTCTGTGGCAAGAAGAGGAGAGAGTCCCAGGGGTTCCCACGGAAAAAGTTCTTATTCTTACAAATATAGAACAGAATTCTAGGATGGCAAATATTTTATTTCAGCACATTTTCCCACTATCTTACACTTTTCATTGTCACTGTTGAGACATCACTGTCAGTCTAATTGTCACTCTTCCGAAGTCAATTCAGTTTTCCTTCTCACTGCCTTTAATATTTTCTCTCTGATTTTGATGTTCTGTAGTTTCACTGTGATACGTCTAGACAGGTATTTGTTTTTATTTACCTGGCTTGAGATTCTCAGCCATTATCTTTTCAAATATTGTCTCTGTCCTACTCTTTTTCTTATATATCTGGAAATCCAATAAAACGTATTATTAGGCCTTCTTTTTCCATCTTCCATGTTTCTTATATCTGTCCTCCATATTTTGTATCTCTCTGTCTTCCTGTGTGGCATTCCGTATTATTTCTTCAGATCTATTTTCCATTCCACTGATCCTCTTTTCAGCTGTGTTTAATCCACTATTTTCACCCATCCACTGAATTTTACATCTACAGTTATTATGTCTTTCAGGACCAGAAGTTATGTTTTGGACATCTTAAAATCTGTATTTTTATTGCCTCTTGTTTTATATTCATATATTAAATAAATTCTTTCATTTCTTTAAACACTAGTTTTAGATTCTGTATCTGATAATTCCAATATTCCAAGTCTTGGGAGATCTGATTCTACTGGATGTTATTTCTATTGGTTTGCAGTCCTCATTCTTTTTCTCTTCATATGTTTTCAAGATATTTTGTGTGTGGTCTGATGTTACTTGGCACTTTATCTGTGGAAATTCTTTAAGGGCTAGGTTGAAGAATTATTCCTCCACAGAAGGGCACACCCAGTTCAGGACCAGTTTTAAGTAAATTCCTAGCCTGAGAGACTTTTCAGACCACACAGGTAGCATTATTTCAGACACAGACTTGCATGAAAATCAACTTGTAATTACAATTTTCCCCTATTCCCCCAATGCCAGTGTCAACACAGGCAGGTCTCCTTGTTGTGCCTCTCTGTGATGTAGGTTTATATCTGTAACTTACCCTTACTTGGGGTAGAGGTGTCCCAACCTTATAGGCACTGGGCCTCTGTTAGGTTCCTCCACCTTGGCAGACCCTCTAGGCTTTGTCTCTTGTCCCCTTCACTCCAAATAACCAACAAAACTGAAACACAAATTCACCAGGATTTGGCCGGTACCCTCAAGGCAAAAGCTGGTTTTATAGAATGCTCATGTCTCAGGATCCTAATTTTCACTCCTGCTTGGCCTCTAAGGATTACTTACTTTCTTGCCAGCTCAGTAATGTATTAAAATATTTACTTTTTTTTTTTAAAGGAAGATTAGCCCTGAGCTAACTTCTGCCACCAGCCTTCCCCTTTTTGCTGAGGAAGACTGGCCCTGAGCTAAAATCCGTACCCATCTTCCTCCAGTTTACATGTGTGACGCCTGCCACAGCATGGCTTGTCAAGCAGTGTGTAGGTCCACACCCAGAATTCAAATCAGCAAACCCTGGGCGGCCAAAGCAGAACGTGAGAACTTAACTGCTGCACCACCGGCCAGCCCCAAAATATTTTAATTTTTACCCAGCATTTTAGTTGTTTTCAGTGGAAGGGTGGTTCATGAATACAGCCCACCATATTCCTAGAAAGAGAAGTCTCTATTCACTATAAAGCATTGTCTCTAACAATAGAGAGAATTCAGCTTCAGAAGTAAGTCAGAAATCTTTAAAATTTAATTTTAACATTTAGCCTTTTTGTTTAAGGAAGTAAGTTATGACCTTTTTCATCTCAAATTAATTATTAGACTGAGCTTTCACAATTTAAAAAAATAAAAACAAAAAAAACAAAATGAGAACTCTCCTGCATTCAGTTTTTCCAGTTGTTTGGCTTTTTCAACAAAGAATATTCAAATTAGGTTACTGTCCACCCAACAACCGTATCCCACAGATGGGGATGGTTTTAGGTCAAGAGCATGAATATGCAGTTTATAAGACAACCAGTCCTTGTCTTGAATGAGCCTGGGAATTATCTTAGTACATCACGTACTGAGCACTGACTGACCAGAGCACAGAGACATCCCAGATCATAAAGAGGGTAACACTTCGTCATTCTCGTTGGAACTGCTGCCCTTTTTACTTATGGCAAAAACACATAACATGACATTTACCATCTTAACCATTTTTAAAATTACAGCTCGGTAATGTTAAGTATATTCACATTATTGTGCAACAGATCTCTGGAACTTCCTCATCTTACCAAACTGCGAGTCTGTACCCACTGAACAGCCGCCCCTGCCTCCCCTCTCTCTGCTGCACTCATTCGCACAACTAAGCTGCACCCACGATGCATTCGACCATGGACGCTGTTAGACCGAAATCTGCTAATATTTCAGCACCGAATTTGATTCTTATAATTGTTTACACAATTTCTGAGAAGATGAGGCTTTTTCATTTGGAGTCAGATAATCTGAGTGAATAATTTTTTTACTAAAACAATATTTCCCAAATCGTACACTAGAATCAAAGAACTTTATAGCTACAGACACTAAAGTCCGTGCTTTAACACTCTCGTTTTGCGGATACAGCATATGAGCCCCACGCTTATGCTAAAGCTGTGAAATACAAAGGAGCTCATACAAGGATCTTTTTTTTTATGTTTATTTTCTAGCTACGAAGACATGATCACTTTCCAAAGAAAGACATTAAAAATGCATAAAAATGAATAAATTTTAAGTTGGCATATTAATATTTTTACTTCAAAATTAAAATTCATTATTTTCAAATCTGAAATACATTGCATATAAAATACGTTGATCTGGTTTTAATTTGCTATGTTTCCACTGTTAATATAGTATTATTTCTCTTATTCTGAAATACATCCTATATAGTTGTTAGGACCTTCTCTAAATAAATTTTTTTTTAAAGATTTTATTTTTTCCTTTTTCTCCCCAAAGCCCCGCAATACATAGTTGTATATTCTTCGTTGTGGGTCCTTCTAGTTGTGGCATGTGGGACGCTGCCTCAGCATGGTTTGATGAGCAGTGCCATGTCCACGCCCAGGATTCGAACCAACGAAACACTGGGCCGCCTGTAGTGGAGCGCGCGAACTTAACCACTCGGCCACGGGGCCAGCCCCTCTCTAAATAAATTTTTGACTGAGGATTAACTCCATTAAATTCTATATGGATGAGCTTGAGGCAACACGTCTCCCGTCTGTACCTGGTGACATGATTAGCTGTAATGATCTTATGTCCTAACTCTTATCATTTCAAATCTCACATTTTCATGTGAGCAGAAAAACCACTTACCTCTTTATAACACTTATATTTAGGTCAATTCCACCGAACCTGGACAGGAATTCGTTGTAGGGAACAGCGCCGGAGCTGGTGAGGGGGATCTGCGTGCAAACAAGAAGGTTGACGGCCTGTTAGGGAAGTCGAGCCAAGCAGCGGACAGCACGGGGGCAGCACGATGTAAGGCAGGACACCATTAGCGGGGTGGGCGTTCTGGGGAACACAACTACCTAATCCCAGTGCCTGGGTTGACACACACCCTCAGCAATCCAGTACAAACAGGACGAACGCCAGGATGCCAGTCTGTGCTCAACTAAAAGTCAACAGGTTTTCTACAAAATGATCTAAAATCTAGATCTATCTAAAAAAATAAAGTGAAATTAGTAGAAATACATGCTAATATAAATTTTATATATGTATTTTGTATATATTTATACATATATAAATTTATACACAAATTTATACACAAATATACACATATATTTATATGTGTAGATACATGTACAAATATATACATGTATATATATATTATATACAGTCATGTGTCACTTAATAGGGATACATTCTGAGAATACATCATTAGGCAGTTTCATGGTTGTGCAAACGTCATAGAGTGCACTTACACAAACCTAAATGTTAAAGCCTACTGCACACCTAGGCTCTACGGTACTAATCTTATGGGACCACCATCATATATGCTGTCTGTTGATGACCAAAACGTCATTATGCAGCACAGGACTGTATGTTTCCCGAGAGGCTGAGTCCACAGCACAGTTTTACCCTCTGAGTGTCATCTGAACTTTCTGTATATTCATATACTTTAAAGGGGGAAAATAGTCATTTTTAAATTTAAAAATTCTACAAGGGACATTACTGGGTCAAGTGAGTCAACACAGATGGCACATTAAAGTACTATCTCGATGTTTAATTTACTGCAGTTGATAACTGTCCTGTGATTGTGAAGAGAACAGCTCTCATTCTCAGGAAATGCACACTGACGTGTTTAGAAGTGAAGAGCCAGAATATAAGCAACTTCCTCTCAAACAGTCCAGAAAAAAACATCGTGTGTGCGCTGTTTGCGCCCATCATGTGTATCGTTTGCACACACACACCTAGACAACAAAGATCACGAGCGAAGCGAACGAGGTTAAATGTTCCCAATAGGCAGGTCTGGGTAAAGGATATATGGGCACTATTTGTCCTGTTCTTATTCTTACAAATTTTCTGGAGGTTTCAAATTACTTCTAAATAAAAAGTCAAATTTTTTTAAATGAAAATATTTCCCAGAACAGCATTATGAAACTAAAATTACAATAAATACATAATCAATATAAATATATTTTAAGCTTCACACAAATATACATAGTACGATTTCCCATACAGCTGAATGGCTCCCGAGTCTGCACAATCAAGTCTGATATTTACACAGCCCTTAAAGTTCCAGCCTCAAAGCCTCGCGTGGTTATCTCAGTCCTCCCCAGAGCACAAATTTCTCTCTACTACTTAAAACATGCATAACTAGGAAACAGGACCAGAGGGAGTACGGCTCACGGGGTGAGCCTTTGGGAAGCCTTTTCCTGGAAAGGACACCCTGACTTCTATTTATGACAGGGCGATTTTTGTAGATACGATTTTGGGTAGACACTTCAAAGTCTCCCTAATCTTGTAGAAGAAGAGCAAGAACAGACGGGACGTGCAGCTCCAAGACTGGGTGCCCTGGTGGTTTGGGTGGCGCTGAGCGCCAGCGAGGGAGGGGCTCACGTTCGCAGAGCTCACACTCTCTGAACGGGCACAGGCACTGCTCGGGGTGGTTCATGTGAGCTCACTCCTCCAGCCCGAAACCAGCTTCAGAGGCTGCTGAAATTTTCCACATTTCACAGAGCAGGTGTGACCTCGCTGCCATTAAGTGCCAGAAACCTCTGTTCACCTCACGACACTAACCACTCTGCCTATATGGAAAAAGAAAGTCCACCAGCCTATTGAAGCGTTCGTCACACTTCAGGTTGCTACTTAGGGTCCAATTCTAACGGGGCAGACACATTTTGGCAATGACCATTCTCCAAGGCTGATGCCTTAGAAAACCGAAGAATCTAGTCTGAAAGGAGAGGCTCTGCCAAGGACTCGCCTTTTCAGTATCTGTGATTCTGGCAAAAACGTTTAAGATTCAAAATCATCCATAGATGAATCGCTGAAAGCAAATTCTTAGACTGCGGCCGGAGGAGGGTAGTTTTGAAATCAACATCTACCACGTTGGTCAGTATCTTCAAAGACTTCTCTTTCCTCAACCTGACACAACCACTCGGACCAGAAGAGGACTTTGTTTTCCTTCTCTGGAATCTATTTACCAATTCAAATTCTTTTCAAAATGTTTTATTAATACTCAGAGACTGAGGCCACATTTTTTAAAAATTCACATTACCATTAAAGGAAAATAAGGTGCAGGGCAGGTTACAAGCAATGACTGCTCAGCATTCTTGCCCTGATCAATCATCAGAACAGCCTGACATTCAAACATTCGTCACAGGGTCCTGGAATAAAATTAAAGCTGAAGCACATTCACTATAACTGGAAAATTCTTTTCTAAATTTGTTGTGTGTGTGTGAGGAACATTGGCCCAGAGCCAACAACTGTTGCCAATCTTCCCCTTTTTGCTTGAGGAAGATCGGCCCTGAGCTAACACCCATGCCAATCCTCTTCTATTTGGATGTGGGTCGCTGCCACAGCATGGCTTGATGAGCAATGTGCAGGTCGACGCCTGCGAGCCAAACCCGTGAATCCTGGGCCGCTGAAGCAGAGCACGCGAACCCAACTACCATGTCACTGGGCCGGCCTCTCTTTTCTAATTTTAAGGGTGAAATTTCACGAAACATTTTACCAATTTGATATGTTTCCAGCTAAGCTTACATTAACTATTAAAAAAGAAAGGTTGTATCACCACAAGGATTAGTCATGAAAAGATCTAGAAAGGTCTCACATGCTGTGAACTCCAGGCATCAGGATGAGCAGCCTTGCCCTCACTCCCCATGAACTTGGCCAGCTGAAAATGCACCACACTCCAGCCTCCTTGATTTATGCACGGGTCACTGAGCTCAAGCTTCTAGAAAAACAAGCTTATTATTTAAGACAGACTACGAGGACCTGTTTTTTTAAAGTCTTTGAAGTTCTACAGTTCTCAGTGACTTCTTTTAAAAACAGATGTAGCTTTTAAAAACAGATACACATTTCACATTTTCTGTACTTTTCCTCTTCCTGCATAGCTGATTAGCTTGGGAAGATTGTCAAAATTTTAACTTAACATTAGATCATGAATATAGGGAGACATTAGCAGGAAATAATATTTTAACTCTCCATTTGTTATAGATAAAAGTATCAGTTAAATCAAGCTTATGAAGAAACTGATGTAATGTTTGCAAGGAAAAATGTTCTCTAAAAGCAAGAGAACATTACCATATGACACAACAATGCCACTCCTACATATGTACCCAAGAGATGCAAAAGCATATGTCCACACAAAAACTTGTACATGAATTTTCATAAAAGCATTGTTCACAGAAGCCAAAAGGTGTGAAACAGCCAAAGGTCTGTCAACTGATGATAAAGAAAAGGCAGTCTATCCACTCAATGGAATAGTATTCAGCCTTAAAAAGGAAGGAAGAGCTGACTCACCTCTAACATGGGTGAGCCTTGAAAGCATTATGCTGAGGGAGAGAAGCCAGACACAAAAGATCATATATTGTTTCATTCCATTTATCTGAAATGTCCAGAATAGGCAAATCTATTGTGACAGAAAGAAGATTAACGGTCGTCAGGGACTAGGGGAAGCTGGAATGGGGAGTGACTGCTAACGAATATTCTTTTAGGGGTGTTGAAAATGTTCTGGAATTAGATAGTGGTGATAGTTGTGTAACTCTGTGAATATATTAAAAACCACCAACTGGTACATTTTTAAATGGTGAATTTTATGATAAGTAAATTATATCTTAATAAATCTTTTATTAAAAATGTAGATAGAATAAAGAATGACATGTGAAAGAATCAATACATACTATTTGTGAAATTCTGGAAGTGAATAAAGGGGGAACATTTTTTTGAAAAAATCTCTTCATCTTTCTTCTCCCTTCCCTTCTTCCCTGTCCATTCCCCAGTAATTCAGCCCTAAAGTCATTCGATGGGGCAGAGAAAAATGGTGTCTGCAGTGCTGGGGGAGCCATGGTGTCCAGAGCAGCATGTGAGCCCACGCGGGGTGAAGAGGGCATCCACACTGCGGGGGAGGCGGTGCTGGAGAGGGGAGATGAGTCACATACCAGGGAGATGATCAAATAAGTAAACATACTAAGAATAATAGAAGCCAAGGTTCTCATTGTCTGAAAAGGTAGTTACAATAGGAAAAGCAAGAAAACTAGAATGAACCCGGAGGTGTTGGATTAGAATTGGCGGCACTGGTGTGAACTCGTGGTTCATTATACAGAGAGATTGACATAGAAACAAATGTAGATGTAAATACACGTATGTAGGGGAAAATGTATCCCCTAGACCTCTGCCCACTGAGAGGGCCAGGAGCAGCGACATCCCAGCGGCAACGAGCAGCCCTAGTGCCCAGACCCCGGATTTGAATATCTTCTTCCATTAAAAGGAAGCAGAGCTCTTTGGAGAAATGGATGATTCCGGGACCAAGGCAACAAAAGCACAGCGGGATGTGGAACATCTTCCATCAGAAAGCAAGGAAGTGCTCAGAGAGCGACGGGGACGCGTCCAAAGGCCACAGAGACCAACGTGAAGCGGCTCCTACTGGCCAAATTAGGGACAATTTAAACATCAAAATAAAGAATGAAAGTAATGGATCATAACCCACTTAATAAAAGAGGGAATTCTCAGTCCCTGCCAACATATAAATAAGTGAATAAATTGAAAGTTTGATGAGGAATGGAATATTTACATAGTTTCAAATTTTCTCCCACAAAATCCTTATTAATTAAAAAGTGCATAAAGAGTACCTTACCATGAAACAGTCTGACAGATCCCACCTCACGTGACTATCATCAGCAACGGGAGGAACTGAAATCATGTGCACCCTAATGAACGTGATGAGAGGAACACTATCATTTCTGTGATATTCCTGCCCAAAATGCAAGCCTGAATCTAGCCCTAAGGAAACAGCAGATAAACTCAAACTGGGGACAATCTACAAAATAACAGGTCTGCCATGTGTTAAATGAAAAAAGTGCTAAATAAAGGCTAAGGAAAGACTGAGTAACTGTTCTAGACTAAAGGAGGCTGGGGAATATGAACCAAGTGCAACGCCTGGTTCTGATCTGGATCCCACAAGACATGCATGGAGCGACTGGCAAACCTGCCTGGATCCTGGGGCCGAGACAGTATGATGAGCTGATGCTGATGTCCTTAACTGATGGGTGGTTATACAGACCAGTGTCCTTGTTTGAGGAAACGTACACTAACATATTTGGGGAGATAGAGCGACTTACTCCTAAAAGCTTCAAGAAAAAAAAATTGTCCTTTACACTATACTTCCAACTTTTCTGCAACTTTGGGTTGCTTTTTAAAAAATTACAAAGCAGAAGAAGTTGTGGCAGAGAAAGCTCATAAAAGACCAACCTTCCACAGAAAACAACTATAAGCTCTGGTCAAAATACAAAAAGTAACTATCTAAAGGCTCTGGAGAGTGAGCAAGAGCAGGCAGATTTTGGAAGAAGTCAAAACTTAGGTGACAAGTATGGAGGGAGTTTCCTGGTCTTAATGGTTTTAGCCTAAGAGCAGGCCTCAGTCAGGGCCCAGCAAACAGCGCCTAAACCCCAAAAGAAAACCCACTGTCTTTCTGGCCTGAAGATCCAGCACACAGAACCCAAAGCAACCGCAGCCACTAAAAATGTGAAGGGAGTCTCAGACGGGAGACAGGAAGAGGAGTACACTGTCTGGGTACTAACTCTGCCCACGTTTCCAGCCGCCGCCTAAACCACGCATGCGCAGGTCAAACCCAAAGCGACCCACCTAAAGATAAGCTCTGAACTGAGACACGTGTGACGGCCTGATGCCGGCGAGACAGTGTGCAAGTTAACTGTCTGCCAAAGGACAAGTATCAACAGTCTTCGGGAGAGCAGAACGGAATCCAGTCTCCACAGCACAGCATCCACAGCATTTAACGCTGCGCTGGCTCATAAACGGCCATAGCCATTCGTGGCTGTTGAGCGCTTGAAATGTGGCTAGTGCAACCGATGAACTGAATTTTCTGTTTTATTTAATGTTAAGTAACTTAAATTTTAAAGCTAATTCAGTTACTGGAAAACTTTTAAGTATGTTTAAAACAACTGGGTATGTGAATCTAGCATCTTAATTGTAAATTTTATGAAACCTAGATATAGATCAAGTAGTTCCAATGGAAATTTCGTGTCTGAATTGAGGTTTGCTGTAAGTGTAAAGTACACACCAGGTTTTGAAGACTCACTACACAGAAAAGAACATAAAATATCTTATTAACAATTTCTAATAGTGATTACATGTTGAAATGAGATAATATTTGAGATGTATTTGGTTTAATAAAATATTATTAAAATTAATTTCACCTGTTTTTTATTTTTATTGTAGCTACTAGAAAATATTAAATTACATGTGTGGCTCACATTACATTTCTATTGGACAGTGCTGGTAAGGGATAGTATCCAAATCTACTCAAATACAAAGAATGAGAGAAATGTGACTCTTCTCAAGGGAAAAAAATCAATGCAGAATAACCCTGAGATGACCCAGATGTTAGAATTATCAGACACGGACTTTAAAGCAGCTATTTTATCAACGCTTAATGAATTAAAAGAAATATGCTCATAATTGAAGGAAAAAACAGGAAATCCAAGCAGATAAATAGAGATTATTAAAAAAGAACCAAATGGAAATTCTAGAACTGAAAAACGCAACGTCTAAAACTTACAATTCACGGAATAGGCTTAATAGCAGAATAGAGATACTAACGAAGAGTCTTCAACTTGACGATAGATCAATAAATATTACCCAATCCCAAAAACAAAGAGAAAAAAATATTTAAAAAGATGCACACAGCCTCGAGGGCCTGTGGGACAACACCACATGTCTGAGAGAGGAGAGGATGGGGTAGAAAAAATATTTGAAGAAATATTGGCTGGAAACTTCCCAAATTCAGTGAAAGACAAAATTAAAGGGAAGAGAAAACCTTGCAACAGTACCACAGTATACTCAAAACACACAAACAACAAACACAACGAACACAACAAATAGATCTGCAAATATTTTTAAAAAGAAGAAAAAAAATCAGTGAAAGGAAGGAGAGTCAGTCCCTGAGGTCAAGACTGGAATTCAGGAACGCCTGAAATTCCCTGGGCTGGTTTTTTTCCTAATGTGTAATTCCCCTGTGGGAAAAGTAAGCAGCCTGGGGTGGGTTGCGGTATTCAACAAGTTCTAGAAAGAAATAGGCTTTCAAATACTATGAAATAGCATGCAGCCAGACTCTGATTAAGACCTAATGAATAAGATACATGTTTGTGTGTGTGTGTGTGTGTGCGCACACACACATGTGCAAACTCAGTTATTGGGTTAGTGGGCTGGAAGGCACGCTACTGATACTTCCACCCAACTTCTCCACTCTTGTATGACTAGATATTGATCCCTGTGGATTTATTCTGAGTGTTTAATTCCTACTGTATTGTGTATTTCTTTTTTAACGGCCCTGAGGGCACAGAGCACACCAGATGTTCACTGTTCATACCTCCCTGGAACACAACACCACCAGGAGGCCCAGGGGCCCATCCTCCACATCCCTCCCCAAGTAAACGCATTACCCCTGCTGCAAACCCTCCACTGGCTCCCTCCAGCCTCCAGGACAGAGGTCAAACTCCTGATGTGACTTCTCGGGACAGGCTCTCTAGCCATAACCTGACACACGTCTCCTCACTTCAGCCAGAAATGACTCCACCCAGTTGCCTGAAGAAACGTGTCATGCTGGTTGAGGCATCCAAGCTTCCACACAGGCCATTCCCTCTACATAATGCCCTTCCCTTCTTCTTTCATCTGCCTAATACCTAAAAACTAAATGTCCCTTCCTCCCCAAAGCCTTCCTGGACCACCATCCCTCAGATTTAGACAGCTCTCTGTCCTCTGACTGTCACTCCTCCCTGTAATCACCCCGTCCAGCACCCACCAACATGTCCGCAAGTCTCTCTGGACCAGGATCCCCCCAGGGCAGGCCTGCCTGAGTGCTCCACCTCGGGTGACCATAGTGTTGCCACAAGAACAAAGGCCGAAATACTCAGTTCCAAAATATAAGCTGACCAAATACCTTTTACATGGAAGCCTTAAAAAAAAAAATGACGGTAATAGTGCTACACAGAAAATATGACCCAAGAACGTGTTGATCGTCCCAAATCTGCCAGAATTTGATCAAACTAATTGTGAAAAATGAACAAAACTCTAACTGCTCGTTTGGGACAGTGGGGAAGAACCAGCAGGGGTCCCACACTCCCGTGACCAACTTCATCCGCTCCGCGGCCGGGTTATTCTAAGTCGTTACACATACTTTACCTGAGCCAGCACATCTTGGAACTGTTCTCTCGTGAGAGGCAGCAGGAAGGTTGTGATGACTCTCCTCAGGTCGCTCTTGGACACCGTCATGCTCTGACTGGTATCGAGTAGCTGAAAGGCTTTTTTCAACTCATCTCCTTTATTGGTAATTTTTTGAAATAAAATCCGTTTAACATCTAAGAAGGACAGTATTGGATTTGCAAGAGCTGTGGCTATAAAAGAGAAACAGCTATTTATTAAATGTGCTTAAAACCAAGCTACCAAACACCATTTCACTGTGTACTAGAATCCAACCAACTTCTAAAACAGTATTTCTTCCACTACACGTGGGGTCGCACGTCCGATCATTAGGTGACTCACGATGGTAAATCAATAGTCATTTTCCCACCTCTGAAATTTGGTCAATATAAAATAATAGTAATGACATCAGAAAGAAAAAGAATGAGGCAAAGATAATCTCTCTATGAAGGACTTATGTCACGACAAGTGAAAAACGTGGATATTGGAATAAAACTTAGTTAAGAATCAATATCATTTCAAACGAATCTTTCAAATATCATATTCACTTTCATCTTCTTGCCAATTTTTGAGAGGAAAACGTAAGTCTTGAATTTAGATCATTTCTTTTTCAAACACAAGGAAGAGGTGAGAATACGCTAGACACCAAAAAGTAGTGAAAGAATGTTCAGAATGCTCTAAATCAGCGTTCAGGGGGCCTGAACTTCCTGGGAGGAAAAGGAGCAGTGTCCTGGTGTCATGCATTATGTCCCAGGGTTCTCCGTGTCACCAAAGGAGAGCCAACACACCAGAGGCCTCCCTCCCCTCTGTCTAAGATGGAAACAGCTGCAGAAACAAGCAAATACAGCAGCTACAGATCAACTCACGGCACCAACCAGTATCCTAAGCGTAAAGAGCTGATTATTCCATCCGGATATTTTATGACCTACTAGGGAAAGAGGAGGCTAAGAATAATGGTAGTTTGGTAAATCTCCTCTATTTATTTATGAGATTGCGAAGGCTCGGTGACCACAGTTTATTTAGTAGCTCTGTCTTCCATAGTAAATTCTGGATGGGTGCTAAACGTCTTGAACGTTGCCTCATCTTTTACAAACTTATTCACAAGCAGGAGCTAGGGAAGGCTGACGCTGGTTATTTCCCTTCACACGAGAATTTCTTATCAAGCTATTGAACCTTCCCAGCATGAGGACAGTGGTGGCTTTAGTCTTGGGGTGACCTAGGCCAGAGGACAGACTCAAAGGACAGGATCTCAAAGCGCCAACTTGTGCCACTCAGAGGGCACTCAGGCATTTCCTCACGTCTGTAAGATGCCCTGAGCTGTCTTCTGCTGGGGGTAGAAAAGCAGAGAATGCGTCGGCGCCCTGGCAGTCACTCTGCTGTGGAGATCTGCTGTGTGCCCTAACCACAGCAGCAGCATGGCAGGCCCTGGGGACCACTCTGCCCCCTCCCAGGGACTGCGCTGGCCATCACCAGTGCTTCATCACCCGGCTGAGGGCCAAGCACACACAACCCATGCTGGATGCTGGGGATGTCTCTCACTCACGATGCCCACGGCCTCCTCAAGGGAGGGCCTTACTTAACTGGGACACACTAGAGATCCAGAACAGAGGGTGGCTGACTTGGGTGACAGAATGAAGGTCTCAGGAAAAGCTCCTTAGAGGAAAGAGGTGACACTTCAACTGCAATGTGGAGTCCCCAAGAGTGAGAGGGGCTGGCAGTGGAAGGTGCTGTGGAGGACAGCCAGCCCAGGCAAAGGGAGGAGGAGGGGGCAGCAGAGGAGGCACCAGCCAGGAGGCGAGACTGCAGACGGCAGCAGGAGCCAAATCCTGGGCGGTCCTGCCTCCATCCTCGTGCTCCGGCTACGGGATGCCACGGTGGGATGTTCATCACGAGACCGATACCACCCAACTTTCATTCCTAAACTCCACCCTGGTATCACATGGAGGAGGGACAGGAAGGGGAGGAGAGTGATGGTGGAGAGGGTATGTTGGGTAACTACGGCCTGCTCAGGCAAGTATTAATGGAGGTCGATGCTAACGTGATGGTCATGAAGTCAGAAGCAGGGGTGAATAAAAGAGAGGTTAAAATAGGCAGGGTGGAATCTACAGAATCTTCTGATTTGATGTGCGGGGTGAGGTAGGGGAAGAGGATAAAGTCTATGTATGCGGTATGGGTGGCTGGGCGCGTGGTGACACCCTCACTGAGAAAGGGAATACTGGAAGATGTGGCAGATGGTATTTTCCACAATGGACTCAACAAGATCTCCATCGTACATGCTCTTTTTACAACGTCACGTTAACCCTCCAGAAGGTTCCATCAAAAAGTGGGGCATATGCGCCTTCTCCTTGAATCTGGGTGGGCCTGTGACTATAGCAGAAATGACACTATATGATTTCCAAGACAACATCACAAAAGGTGTTACAGCTTCTGCCTGTTCCTCTTAAGACGCTCACACCAGTGGCCACACTGTGAGGAAGTCCAGAAGCCACACAGAGGCCACGTGTAGGTGTTCTGGCCGACAGCCTCAGCTTAGGTTCCATCCAAGAGCCAGCATCGACTGCTGGCCATTCGAGGGAGCCAGCCTTCAGAGGTCAAGTCACCCCCTCCTTTGCAGCTCCCCCGCTGGGACCTGCCCAAACTGCATATCTGTGAGCGAAATACGTGATTGCCGCTATTTCAAGCCTCTATGTTTGGGGGTGTGTACCTAGTAATAGAATCCTGGAACTGAAGAGAAAAAAGTTTGTGGGAAAGCTAATGAGTTCAGTTTGGGATATCTAAGTGGGATGTCTGTTTGAAAACTGAATCCATAAATCTAGAAGTTGGAAGAGGGTGGGGCTGAGACACAGGTGTGAGAACTGGCCACGTGGAAGCCACGGGGGAAGCAGGCAGGACAGGAAGAGAAGAAAGGAGACTCGCAAAACACTGACCTTTAAGGAAGTGAAATTCATTCACTCAAAAAATATTTCTGAGTACCTAGCATCTTTCAGCCACTGATCTAGGCACTGAGGGCACTACAGTGAAAAGACAGGCAAGGTCTGCTCCTGTAGAGTTTACGACCTGGAGCGGGGAAGACCGACCCCAACAGATAAATAGATAAATTGTACGGTGACGGCAGGCGGTGGGAAGGGACGCAAAGATGGTGAGACAGAACACTGAGGTGCCATGCGGCAGAGGTGGCTCTGCGTGGCGCCGTCAGGGAGGCCCTGCCTAAGCAGATTGAGGAGCTGAACCAGAAGATCAAATGAGCCAGCCAGTCATGAAGCTGGCGTAGGAATGTCCTCAACAGGGAAAGAGCCCTTCAGCAAGAATGAGCTTGACGTGTTCCGGAAAGCAGAAGGCCAGTGTGGACAGAATGGCGTGGGCCAGTGAGACGGAGGGCAGCGATGCTTAGCTCAGGTCGGGGATGCCTCGGGTGCCTGCACAAGCACTGGGGTTTTCTCCAAGCAGGGGGGTGAGCCTCTCGAATATATCTTGTTTTTTAAAAATCACTGGCTGCTACGGGGAGAATAGATTACAGAGAGGCAGGAAATGAGGAAAAGAGGCCAGAGAGGAGGTAATTCCAAGAGTCCAAGAAGAGGTGACTGTGGGCTGAACCAGGTGGCAGCTCTGGATGTGGGGAAAGGAGACAGATCAGAGATATAACCTGGAAACAGAGCAGACAAGCTCCTGCGGATAGATTGGCTCGGTGGGGTGGGGACAGGGCGGGGTGGGGCAGGGTAGGGGGCGGGCAGGGTTGGGGGCTGAGGAAGAAAAGAAATTAAGGACAATTCCTAAGTGTTGGACTTGAGGAACCAGATAAACGATGCTGACATTTACTGAGACGGAGAACACTGGGAGTCAAGAAATCTGTGTGGCCAGTTCATGTTTGAGATGTCCATGAGATGAAGCCCAAGCAGAAAGGTCAGGCAGGCAGCTGCAGGGTCGATCTGGAGCTTAGCAGGGGAGTCAGAAGGGGGCATTCACTTTGATTGCAGGTGATACGTAGGCACATGGTACCAGACACTCATCTAGGAGAGGGCGGACAGGGAGAGGAGGACTGGGCACAGAGCCTGAGGGAGAAGAAGGGGCTTAAATCTCCCACAAGGCTTCCCAGACGCTCAGGAGGGGCCGCTCCCTGCTGCCTTCTCATCTCTGACGGTCGCCTGGAATCTCAGAAGCAGGTGATTCACATGGAGAGGCCGCGTGATTCAATGTCGCTAGTGAACACTCGTTCTCCCTCCGTCCACCCAGCCTGGAATCCTCCTCCTGCTCCCAGTGTCACAGAGGGACCCTTCTTGTTAATTTATGTTTCCATCTTGAAATCTTTCTTCAGATTTTTCATGTATATTTTTAGCTGCTTTCCAAGAAGCCCCATCTTCGCAATCGATATTTCTAATTTAAAAGTATCAGAAAATATTGATTTGAAATTACTTGAAGGAAAACTTTTTATTTCATGTGCCTAATGCAACTTCTGAGATTTAAAATGAAAGCAGTTACCAAACTTGCATAACCTGCTAGTGGGAGTACAAATTGATAGAATCTTACTGGAGGGCAATTTGATAGAATTTTCTACATCCGTTTAGGATAAAGAAAGTCACAACAGACTGTCGCTCTCACCCTAACAAGGAGAACAAGTAGGATAAGCTTAAAAAGGTAGAGTTTTTGAAACCCACCGGTGAACCGAGGATGCAGAGAAACTAAATTCCAGAAAGGACAAGCCATTCCTCAGAGAGAAAAGACCCCTGATGCCTTTCATCCTTGCAGAGCCATGGGAAGAAAAGCAAAATCATTCTAGGGGCTGGCCCGGTGGCTCAGTGGTTAAGTTCACACATTCTGCTTCAGTGGCCCGGGGTTCGCAGGTTCGGATCTCAGGTGCAGACATGGCACTGCTTGGCAAGCCATGCTGTAGTAGGCATCCCACGTATAAAGTAGAGGAAGATGGTCATGGATGTTAGCTCAGGGCCAGTCTTCCTCAGCAAAAAAGAGGAGGATTGGCAGCAGATGTTAGTTCAGGGCTAATCTTCCTCAAAAAAAAAAAAAAATCATTCTAGACAGAGGTAAGGAAAAAACAACCAACTATTGAGCAGCCACATGTGGACTGGTGCAATGGATTTGCACACTGGGAGCCTGGTCACATGGGTGCATGAGCAGCACAGCAAAGGTGGGGGAGGCACGGGGCTGCACGATGCCCGAGGCCCACAGGGTCTTCTGCAAGCGTAAGACAGCCATGCACCAAGGCCGGGGAGTCCAGAGGGAAGAACTGAGGCGAGTCCCTGTGAGGCACATGGGGCCTCCCCTGAGTGCCCCTCAGTGGCCCACTGCAGACTGGAGGCAGGATGTCAGAGTGGAAAGAGACCTCCTGAGGTACAGGAAGCTAGGCTGGAGGACAAAGAGCGCTCCCCAGAGACCCTCCAAAACTGGCAGCCGGCCTGTGAAGCAGAGATCGCCCAGGTCTCACCAGTGGTCAGAGCTCAAGACCTGGTGAGGGAAGCCTCAGAAACCAGCAGCGCCCTCGACCCAGCTGCGACTGCAAAACGGCCCCACACAGCCCAGTTCAGAGATTAAGCTGAGCCAGCCCATGGCACAAAGCCGAGAAAAAAGGGCATTCCTTTCTCTCGTGGTAAATATTATTTACTTCTGCCTCTACTGTGTTTTACACAAATGTCTGATATTAAATCTTTTTAAAATTGCAAGACAAGTAAAGTAAGAAAAGGTGACGTAATCAAGAGCGAAAGCAATCAGATGACCCACAGAGAGAGCGGATGCAGAAACGATCAGGTGTGTAAATTAAGGACGATAAACAGGTTAAAGAGCTTGAGGGAAAAACTGACAACATGCTGAATGTATGGGGGGTTCAGTAGAGAAATGGAAACTAGTTTTTTAAAGCACGTGAGAAAGCTAGAAATTAAAAATACAATGTCAGAAGTGAAGAACTCATTTGATTTGCTTAACAGTAAACTGCACACGAAGGAAGAAAGGACTAGTGAATATCGAGTCAGGTCAACAGAAATTATTCAAACTGAAATATAAACATAAGCAAAAAACATTTAAAAAGGAAACTTTGGGGGTCTAATATCTGTGACTCACAGATTCACCCCATGAATTGCGCTCATTTAACATGAGTTATACAAGTACATGCCTACATATATATGTGCATGCGTGAAAGAAGCCAGCCAAACACTTACTGGTGGCCACCTCTGCAGAGGAAAATGGTGCTAGGAGACATTATATATATGCATAAAATTAAAAGTAATTTTTTAGGGGCCAGCCTGCTTGCATAGTGGTTAGGTTAGCATGCTCTGCAGGGTCAGATCCCAGGCGCGGAGTACACACTGCTCATCAAGCCGTGCTGTGGCAGCACCCCACATAGAAAATAGAGGGAGACTGGCAAAGATGTTAGCTCAGGGCCAATCTTCCTCACCAAAAAATAAAATAAAATAGAAAATAATTTTTTACTTTAAGAGAGAAAAAATAAATCAGTATGTTAAAAAATACCATCAGTAAAGATAAAAGGAAAGTGACAAATGAAAAAGAGACACTGAGGGCACATAGACAGATAAAGGATTAACACCTTAAATACAAAGAGAGCTCAGACAAGCCACTAAAATGACCAACCCACAGTGGGTAAATGGGCAAAAGATATGAAAAGGCAGCTTACAAAAGAAAAAGACATACACCTGATAAACTTAAGAACCAAAGTTAACCTTACTGTGAGAGATATGCAAATGAAAATCACATAGAATATTGTTTTTGCACACCAAATGGACTAGACGTAAAAGATACTATTCTGCCTTAGGATACTTAGAAATCAGCCCCTTTATCTGTTATTTGTGGGGACGTCCAGGCACAGCTTCCTACAGGGCCCTTCGGTAGGATTCATCAGGAGCCTTAGGAGTGTGAAAGCCCTCGAACACAGCAACCCCACTGCACTCCAGCCTTGAGCACTATCAGAAAGTCAGCTAATATCCAAGGTATATTGTAGACGTGGAGCTCCTGGACTGGAACAGATTTATTATTGACAATCAATTTTTAACCCCCATCCATTCTCCCCATTTTCCTTAGAAACAGAAACCCTGAGATTTGGGTAGACACGTGGCCGTCTGAAATAAAGGCTGGGCCCCCAGGCTGCCTAGTAGGTGCACGTGGCCACGTGACCGAAGTCTCACCAGCTGTGAGAAGCACAAGGGTCAAGTGTGACTTCTGACTAGATCACCTTCTCCCGCTAACAAGGCAAAACCCAACTTGTCCTCCCGTTCTGTCCCCTCTGAGTCCCTCTGGTTCCTTGGGTTGTGCGCTCACAGTGTTCTGTACGAGCTCACGTTGTGACGTTTGCCTCACTCCACTGGAATTCTTTATCTCCCTCTCAGACCGTGAGCTCCTCCAGGCCGGGCCCTCTACTGGATCCATCTCTTTATCCTCAGTACCTACGACAGTTCCTGTCACATACAAGGGCTCAGAAAATGTTTGGGAAGAAAGGAAAATATATATACTTTTGGAAAATTATAATGTCAAATTGTATTGCTTTAAAACTGAGTGAGTGATCCAAATGAGTTGAAAACTTACGTCCACACGAAAACCTGCATGCAAACAGTTATAGCAGCTCCATTCTTAATTGCCAGGACACGAGAAGAACCAAGATGTCCTTCAGTAGTGAACAGATACACAAACCATGGCACACCCATACAAGAGAATAACATTCAGAGATAAAAAGAAATGAACTATCATACCATGAAAACACACGAAGGAGCCTTGAATGCATGCTGCTGTGTGAAAGAGGCAATCTGAAAAGGCTCCATACTGTGTGATTCCAACTATATGACACTCTGGAAAAGGCAAAACTATGGAGACAGTAAAAGGATCAGTGGTTGCCCAGGATTGGAGGGGGGAGGGTGGAAGAGATGGAGCACAGGGCATTTTTAGGGCAGTGAAACTGTTCTGTATGATGCCGTAATGGTAGACGCGTGTATCTATACATTTATCAGTGCACTCTGATGTAAACCGCAGACTTCAGGTAATAATGTATCAATAATGATTCATCAGTTGTAACAAATGCACCTCACTAAGGCAAGATGTTAACAACAGGGGAAACTGGGGGTGGGGAACATAGGGGTGTATGGGAACTCTGTACTTTAGCTCAACTGTTCTGTAAACCTAAAGCTACCAAAAAAATTAAGTCTATTAGTTAAGAAAAAACTGAGTGAGGCAGGATACTAGATAGCATAGCAGTTAAGTCCATGGATTCTGGAATCACACCGTCTGGGTTCAAACCCTGACCCTGCCACTTAAAAACTACGTACATTTTGGGTAAGTGGCTTAATCAGGCTGTGCCTCAGTTTCCCCATAAAGAAAATAGGGACAATAATAGAATCTGCTGCGCAGCTTCACTGTGAGGATTAAATGACACATGCAGCCTTCGTACAGCCTGGTACTCACTAACCACACCCCAGCCATACCTACCACAGTATTATTCGCTCACGATACTCACTTGAAGAAGAAGGTCTGAACACATTTTGGAAACTATTCCTCAAATCCACTCTACACGGTGAAGAATGGGGTCTTAAAGACGTGAATTTTCGCGTGTGAGGATACGAAATTTGCCCATCTGGTATAATCGCCATTTTGCACATTAAATCCCTGTGATATAGAAGAGAACAAATTACATTATCTCAAGCATGGGGGGCAAATGTGGCCAATCTCCCAGCCACTCCTCCTCTGAAAAGATAGCCAGAGATTACAAAAATGCTGCTAGGGGCCGGCCCAGTGGTGCAGCGGTTAAGTGCACACGTTCCACTTCTCAGTGGCCCAGGGTTCGCAGGTTCGGATCCCGGGTGCGGACACGGCACCACTTGGCAAAAGCCCAGCTGTGGCAGGCGTCCCACATATAAAGCAGAGGAAGATGGGCATGGATGTTAGCTTAGGGCCAGTCTTCCTCAGCAAAAAGAGGAGGATTGGCAGTAGTTAGCTCAGGGCTAATATTCCTCAAAATAAAAAAAGAGAGAGAGAGAAAAATGCTGCTAGCCATGACCTTCTTGCCAGTGTTTCAAAGACTATTCTTAAAGTGAACACAAAATCACAATTTTAGACTCCTTGTTTTTAGCAGAGCCAATAATCTTCAAAAATGGGAAAATAAAGAAACTTTTGAATAGGAAAACCTGCCTGCATCTTGAGTATCACTGACTCATTTCTTTGGCAGGCAGTAAGGGTAGAAAGTGGATTCTCTGAGGTCTCTTGAAGTGCCTCACTGTACATCCAACACACAGCTGGAGGCAGAGCTGAGGACAACAGCACCAAAAATGGTGGAGAAAGCACCTCTGAAGATCCTCTCCTCCATTAAAGCAATGAGAACTCGGGCAGAAATTGTCAGAATCAACTGTTTCAGAACTCTGGACACTAACCAAAGGTTCACAGCCATCCAGGGGGCCCTGACTCAGAAAGAGGGCAGAATCTCAGTATGAACATCAAGTTTTATGGCTTTTCTTTTCCTGAGGAAGGTTAGTCCTGAGCTAATGACTGTTGACAGTCTTCCTCTTTTCTTTTTCTTCCCCTGAGGAAGATTAGCCCTGAGCTAACATCTGTGCCAGTCTTCCTCCACTTTATATGTGGGTTGCCACCACAGCATGGCTGACCAATGGTGTAGGTCTATGCCTGGGAGCTGAACCCACATACCTGGGCCTCCAAAGCAAAGTGCACCAAACTTAACCGCAAGGCCAGCATTTTAAGTTCCCCTATTCCCATCTTTCCACCCTGAAATCTTCAGCAGCCTTGAAACCAACAGTGTGCAATCACATTGAAAACCCAGCAGGCTGACAGCCAGTGGAAGGAGCAGACGAGGGCTGGAGCTCCTTTAAAGCCCTATTACCAGAAGATTTTCATTATGTGACCTACCCGATGGTTCCCTGAAAGAGTCAGTCACAAAGCTGTCTTTATTTGAACTGATTCAGAGCTTTCCCAGTAAGAACAGGATATCATCAAAAGGTATTTGTTGAAAAAAAATCAGAGGCAATTGTTATTTAAAATCTTAGCTGCCTGAGGGGTTGGTAACAGATGGAGCAAATAACAGACTAAAGAAAAAGATTAAAGGGAAAAGCTGGGGAATGAGATGTCCACAGGGGCTTTGAGAAGCTCCCACACATTGCTAAGAATCTAGAAGGCCACTTGCAAGCGTAGGACTGTGAGCATGTCCAGGGTTGTGTGCTTGACCAGGGAAGACCTGAGAAGGCCCCAAACTCTCACCTCTGGCTGACCTTGAGGCTCTGCACAGGCAGGAAGTGAAGGCTAAGGTAGAATTGTGAACTGCCTGGCTGAGTGTTGAAGGAACTCTCCATTACACACAAAGAGCCTCTCAGCAAAGATCAGAAGACTTTTGTTTCCAGGCATTTAAGGAAATCTCTGTCCAGTCATGAGCTGACCGCTAAGCTACCCAATTAGAGACTTCAGTGTCTACACATGACAAAGAATACAGACTTTACAAAGTTAGTTGAGAAAAGTCACTACACAAACAAAAAAACATGGAAAGAGAACATGATTTTAAGAATTGCCACATTATTAAAATGTCTAGTTTTCAACAAAAAATTTATGAGACATGCAAAACAAAAAAAAGGAAGTATAGCCCATACATACTTATCTTCAGAAGCCATACAAGGAAGAAAAGAGTGGAAATAAATATTTAAAGTGTTGAAAGGAAAAAAAAACAACACCAACCAAGAATTCTGTATCCAAAAATATTATCCTTCAAAAGCTAAAGACAAATAAAGCTTTTATCAGACAAAAGTTGAGAGAATTTGTCACCAGCAGACCTGCTTGTAAGAAATGTTAAAATAAACTCTTCAGAAAGAAGAAAAAGTCATACGGGTCAGAAACTCAGATCTACATAAAGAAAGGAAGAGCACTAGAGAAAGAACAAACGAAGGTAAAATAAAGATATATTCACCTAATAGGAGTTCCAATGTACATGAGGCAAAACCTGACAAAATTAAAAGGAGAAATAGACTCTTCGACAATAATAGCTGGAGACATCAACATTCCACTTTTAATAATAGGACAACTAGACAGAAGATCAACAAGGAGACAGAAGACGTGAGCAACACTGTAACCCAACTAGGCCTACTAGAGCTCTAAAGCACACTTGCCTAACAGAAGAAGAATGCGCTCTCTTTTCAAGGGTGCATGGAGCATTCGCCAGGACAGACCGTATGCCAGGACATAAAACAAGTATCAGTAAATTTTAAAGGACTGAAAACATAAAAATATATTCTCCAACCACACTGGAATGAAATCAGAAATCAATAACAGAGAGAAGTCTGGTAATTCACAAATATGTAGAAATTAACACACTCCTAAATAACCAATAGGTCATGGGAAAAAAATCACAAGATAAATTAGCAAATATTTTTAGACGAATGCAAATGAAGGCACAACATACCAAAACTTATGAGATGCAGCTAAAGCAGTGCTTCGAGGGAAATTTATACCTGTAAACACCCATATTAAAAAAGAAGAAAATCTCAAGTTAATAATCTGACAATCTTCCTTAAGAAATTATAAAAATAAGAGTAAACTAAAACCAATTTTGTAGAATGAAGGAACTAATAAAGGTTAGAGCAGAAATAAATGAAGTCAAGAAAAGAAAAATAGGCAAAACCAACAAAATGAAAAGTTGGTTCTTTGAAAAGATCAGAAAAACTGAGAAATTTTAAGTTAGACTGACCCCCCAAAAATGATAAATACTCAAATTAATAAAATCAGGAATGAAAGAGACGACATTACTACTGACCTTACAAAAACAAAAAGGATTATAAGGGAATACTATGAACAACTGTATCCCAACAAATTGGATAACTTACACGAAATGGAAAAATTCTTAGAAAGACACAAACTACTGAAACTGACTAAAGAAGAAACAGAAAATCTGAAAAGACCTACAATAAGCAAAGAGAATGCATTAAACAAAAAAAATTCCTGCAAAAAGATCTCAGGACCAGAGGGGTTCACTGGTGAATTCTACCAAATATCTTAAAAAGAATAGTCCAAGCTTATCCTTTATAAACTCCTCCAAAAAACAGAAGAGGAGAGAACACTTCCCAACACATTCTATGAGGTCAGTATTACTCTGATACCAAAACCTGACAAAGACATTAGAAGAAAAGAAAGCTAAAAACCAATATTCCTTGTGAATATAGGAAAAATTCTCAACAAAATACTAGCAAACTGAATCCAGCAACATCTAGAAAGAATTAGACAGTAGGACCAAGTGGGAAAACCCTAAAGTATTACACACACACACACACACACACAACTATTAGAAATAACAAACAAATTCAGTAAGGTTGCAAGTACGAGATCAATATACAAAAATCCACTGTATTTCTATATACCTGCAATGAACAATCTGAAAATAAAGTTAATAAAACAATTCCATTTGCAATAGTATCAAAAAGAATAGAATACTTAAGAATAAACTTAACAAAAAGTGTACAATTCACACACACAAACTACAAAACATCGTAGAAATAAATTAAAGAAGAACTGAATAAATGGAGAGGCACTCCATGCCATGGGCAAGACTGCAATGCTCCCCAAATTGATCTACAGATTCAACTCGATGCTCATGAAAATCCCAGCTGCCTTTTTTGCAGAAATTGGCAAGTTGATCTTAAAATTCATATAGAAACGCAAGGGACTCAGAATAGCTAAAACAATCTTGAAAAAGAACAAAGTTGAAAGACTCACACCTCTTCTTTTCAAAACTTACTACAAAGCTACCGTAATCAAGACAGTGTGGTGCTGGCATGAGGACAGACATCTAGATCAATGAAATAGAACTGCGAGTCCAGAAATACACGCTTACATGGATCATTAAGTGATTTTGACAAGGGTGCCGAGACCACTCAATGGAGAAAGAATAGTCTTTTCAACAAATGGTGGTGGGACAACTGGATATCCATATGTAAAAGAAGGAAGTCAGTCTCCTGTCTCACACCATAGACAAAAATTAACTCCAAATGGATCAAAGACCTAAATTTAAGAGCTAAAACTATAAAATTCTTACGAGAAAGCATAGGTGCAAATCTTTGTGACCTTAGATTAGGCAATGTTATCTTAGATATGATATAAAAAACACAAGCAACCAAAGAAGGAATAGATTAATTGAACTTCATCAAAATAAAACATTTTGTGCTTCAAAAGACACTATCAAGAAAGTGAAGACAACCCACAGAATGGAATCAATTATTTGCCAATGATATATCTGACAAGGATCTAGTATGTGGAATATATCAAGAACTCTTAGAACTCAATAATAAAAAGACAACCCAATTTAAAAATGGGCAAAGAATTTGAATAGAAACTTCTCCCAGGAAGATAGACGAATGGGCAGTAAGCACGTGAAAAAATGCACATCACTCGTCATTAGGGAAATACTACAATGAGGTCTCATTTTACGCTCACTAGGTTGGCTATAATCAGAGGAACAGACAATAACAAGCACTGGCGAGGATGTAGAGATATTGGAACCTTCGTACATTGCTGGTGAGAATGCAAAATGGTACAGCGGCTGTGGAAAATAGGTTGGCAGTTTCTCAAAAAGTGAAACATAGAGTTACCATGTGACCCAGCAATTCCACTCTCAGGTACAT